TAGGTGTACATAGGGGCCGGAGTGTAAGCACACCAGTAATGCTGAGAAGGTAGGAGAGGAGATTCTTCTTCTTCACACCCTGCCCCCTCTTAGCAATATGATCCAATTAGAAGACAGTCCCCCAGCCACACAGCTTAACGTATGTACACATGTGTAACTTGTGTACAGAGAGACACGCCTGTGCCTAAAACACTGACTGTGAGACTCAACTTTGTTTGCCCTGGTTTAAAAGGGGACCAAATAGGTCAAGATCATTAGAAAGGCAACTAGGCTAAAAAGAAAATGGCTCACGGTGTCTTAAATAGTCACCTCCCTCTTTCAGCCCCCACAAGAATGACACGGTGGTTATTCTAAACTCATATCGGACCGGATTTGCAAGGGGCAAAAATACACCTACGTCCAAGTGTCACAGGATGAGATCTGCTGCAGCTGCAGTTCGGCCCCCGCCTGCATAAAGCCAAAAGAAGATGATGTTCTTCCACCCCAAACAGAGTTTACAGAGTCAAGTGGTCCTAAGACATCATCAGCTTTGCATCTGCCAAAGATATTTCTAGGAACTATGTGGTGAGTTTGAGCTGACTCCTCAAGGCTATGCAGCAAGAATAAACTAGCACAAACTGGCATTTTCCCCCCCTAAATTTCCCCTTTAGGCTCCAGTTTTTCCTCCCTAGTTCATATCTTTTTCGCTTTAATCGCCCCGATAAGATGTTTTTGTCACATCCTTTGCAAATTTCCAGCAATGGCAGCAACTTTACTAAAAATAAATAAATAACGAACCATTTTACAACATTGCTGCAAAGTACCTCTTGCAAATCAACACACAATGACGCCACGTGCAAAACGGCGACTTATCACAAAAATTAAACCACCGTGTTTTGACAGTGGGGGTAAGTTAAGCCCTGGGTGACGGCAGCAGTATTGTGTCTAACAATGCAGAGTGGCAGCGACAGTGAGTGACCTGAAGTGCGACACAATCCCACTATACTCAAGATTTGTGGCAGCAATACAGCGTAGGAGTCACTGTTGTAGAGCAGACGTCTTTAGTAATTTGGAATAAGCAGATTACCCATGATAATACATTTAAGAATAACTTTCCACTGCAGGGCTTCCTGTGGACTGGCAGGCTTAGTATAATGTTGATACTGTTTCACTCCCTTCTCCCCTCCCTGCCTCGCCCAACCCTTCCCATTACACGCAGCACATAAAAACACATCAGGCTCATTATGACTACTATTTGATCCAATTTTGAAAAATTGTTTGTCTTTGAAACAGCACGCCTTTCCTGTGAACAAACTACGAGCTCCCCATTATGTAACATCTTTGAAACATTTTTTTTTGGGTCCAGTTTTTATTATATAACATTTTTACTTTTACTTTGACTCAAATACATCAGATTGTCTCATCTTAATAATTGATTGAAAATGGCTGTCTTATTCAACCAACCCAAGGACTGAATTCCTTCACACTCACAGAAAACATAAACGGTGTGCAAAGACATATCTGTGAAAGCATGCACCAAGATGTGGTCTTTATAAGAGATTTTACTCTGTGCTGGTCTTTTGTACAGGTATCTTATCTGTGACCTCATTAGAAAATGTGCCATTCATTCAGCGTTAAAGCTTTACACTTGAACCAATAAGAAACACTTAAAAACCAAAAATATATTTCACAGTTCTGGATGAGACTGCCCCAAGCATTAACTACCTGGAACACACTGCAGGTTTTATATATTAAAAAAAGGTCAAAACATAAAGAAGCCCTTTTAAACTATGTACTACAAACACAAGTTTCTAGTGTAAATAAAATCATTAACTTTCAGTTGCTGCTAGATCAGGAAATTGCTGATTGCATATTAGAGGACACTCCCATGCCAGAGTACATTATGTGCCAAAATAACTCCGCGTTTCTTCCTGGTATTTAAAGTGTGGGTGGGGTAAGCAGTATGAAGGTATGAGGCTTGGTTGCTTTGAGTCCCTAGCCTCAGACTGGAAGGTGCATGAGATTTTTTTTGTACGGCCTGAGGCTTGTTCCAGCATCAAAATGAGCCCGCAGGACAAAGCCCTCCCGGGTTATTGGCTCCCCGGAATCTAACCACTTGGCTGGCCAGCCCTCTTGATTTTGGCAGACATGGACACAGAGACAACTCCTGATAACTATCAGATCCAAAAAGCAATACAGAGAGTAATTGAAAATCAGGCCATGCATACATAATAAATGTATAATAGGCAACAAGTCATTTTAAAACACATCTATAGTCCAGGACACTACAGAAAAATTGAGCTTTTTTAGCAAGTGTGCAGTTTCTCTACAATACATTATATAGCCAATGTAAGTTTAATAAACACTATGAAAAATGAAAACTTTTTTTCTGGATCAAACCTACAGTAGAATGGTGGGGAGACGGCCAAATGAAAATGCGTTACAAAATGTAATTAAGTGGTAATAACATAATAAATTCATATAATCGTTATGACTGTAACGACTGTATCTGCAGGATTTTTTATTTCTAGCAGCAAGTCAATGTTCACGACAAACTGTAGGAGGTGCACTAGCAGTCACTTTACCTTTATGTTTTAATGTTATAATTACTTTGAAATGATGAAGAACATCTTTGTAATGAAAAGAAAATTGCTTCTTTAGAGTGCGCCATTTTCAATTCAAGTTTAGTACAGGGTTACAGCAACAGTCACTTCAAGACAAAGACTTTATTATTAGAGGGGAAATTCCAATGATTAGATGGTCTTCCCTGAGTAAGCACTTGGCGACAGTGGGAAAGAAGACCTGCTTTTCAACAGGAAGTGACATCTGGCAGTACTAGGGTCAGGAAGAGGCAATTTACAGGCCCTACCATTTGGAGAGTAAATGGGTAAGAAGACAGAAAAGAGGAGCACAAACCACAAACAAATGGGGGGTTAAAAATGGACCACTGTTTTTTCTACTTCCTCCACCATTGTCTAATAAAGTAAACTCTTGAGCGTGGGGGGTTTTTTTGCCCTTCAAATGAGATGCCATTATATCAACCTCATCTCTACATGTCATTTGTATTTTATTTACATGTTTTGTGTCTGTATTCTGATTTATAATAATTGCATAGATTAGCTAGACTGTTGTAATATGTTGTTTTATTCTTAAAATTTAAGAAATATCATATTCACCAACAACACCTTTTACTCACAAAGAGTCTGATAGTCAGGCAATTAAAATAATCTACCTTAGATTTATTGTTAAGTCAAATGGAAGTTGGCTCTCTCTGAATACTGACATTCATCTTTATCAATCTTCTGGCAATAAACTACAGAAAGTACCAAAGTACACAGTGACTGTGGTTTTGGTTTTATTAGAAAACATTAACAAAAAGGTTATCTGCAAGGATATGATCCTGCCTGTCAGGCTTTATCCAGGAAAGTATGTCAACAGTAAAACACTTCAGATTAGAACCCATCTACAGACAGACCTCAAAGAAACTAAAACGAGCACTGTTGTAAAGCAAAGCTAACAATGCTTTCATCAAAAGAGAGAGGGAGCTGAGGCATAACCCTAAAGGCTTTTTAAAATAGGGGCAGTGAGGTCTTGGAAGAAATCTCAAGCTCCTTCAGAGACGTACTTTAGTTTTGTGTTTACTTAGTGAGTAAAAGTCAGTTTAACAAAGTCTCACTTTTCAACAGTAACGTGTTTGGTCGCTAACCCCATTATAATCCCTTTTTATTGTGCTTGCCAGCACCTAAACTTGGTGATATAGCCCCGAGTCACCTCAACATTTACCAGCTGAGCCCTAAATGTCCCAGCATGCTAGGTCATGCCACACGTAGCATCGTGGGCCTTGTGCTGACTAGTCAGCAATGGCAGCTATTCTTACACTTAGAGGAACACTGTCAATGATCGCAGCATGTAATCACAGAAAAAGCAGAAGTGGCCTAAGCTAGCCCAGCTAGGTCATTTATCACACGTCATACTCAAATAAACCTCGAAAACGAAAGAAAAGACAACACATGTCACAAAGATGACTTCCCAGAATGACGAGCAATAATGTCCAACTGCTGGACATTAACTGTGTTCCGGCCACGGTCATAAACAGTTGCTACTGTGTATAAATCCATGAGCGAAAAGAGCCGTCACCACTTTTTAAGTTCGACTAGGTGGCTATAGCTCAACACTATGAATGGGCTAGCTAACTAGCAAACTAACGACAGCAAGGCACTAGCCTTAGCTGCCCAATCCAATTAGTACAGAGGCGACAGAACTGACCACACAAATGTTAGCCGAAATACTTTGACTCTCTTTCACACTCTCTGGAGGGGTGGACATTTGCCCACACGGGCCTCATTCCTCCTCAGATCCTAGCCTCCGTGTCTCTTGAAATCTCTGACCCGTCCCCATCCTTCCGTTAAAGTCCTGAGGGCCGTTCCCAGGCCTACGTGAAGAGCTAAGCTGTGCTAAGTACGGGATGAGCAGCTTTTTTCACAAGAAACGAATAGAAGATTTCCAGAAACAGCCGCTAGAAATACCTGTAGCTTCAGTTTGCTGTTCCCTTAGCTAGTAGTGAAATGGCGTTGCTCTGCGTTGACACCAGCACACTCCTGCCTTCCCAGGGCAGCTCCAACCCGGCTTTCTTCTGCGCTATCCGTCACAGAGAATCTGCTGTTTCTGGTTCGCGGGGGCGGGTCACAGTCAGCCTGCTAAGGAGCGTTCATTTTGAGACTCGTGGCACACCGAAGGCCACATGTCATCACATTACAAATAATAAGTAAAAAGTACCGCCCTTTCGAAACATTCTTGGCTCGTAAATCTTACGATACTGAAAGAGGAGTGGTCCAGCGCACTTCCCCAAAGTCTACAGACCAGAGTACTATAATTGTATGACAAGTTCCAGCAGATCTTTGCTTACCATTATGGCTTACGGCAATATTTATGTAATTGTAAACTAAGAGAGTGAGATGTTATTAACTTAATGCGCATTCTGCTATGTTTTACTTTGCATTAAAAATCACAATCACAACAAATTTACACAGAAACTATTTATTATGACATAGTTTATAAAAACATTTGTATATCTGTTTATGTCAGATAAGGTCATCTTTAAACTCAGGGTGTCATGTCGAGATCACAGACAAAAAAGAAAGTGTATAAAAGCTCCTCCATGCTGAAAGGCTTAGAGTTAAGTCACTGCTCCGCTGCAGCCACTGCTTGTCCTGCAGTCTGAAGCTCTGCCTCATACTGCTTCTTTAGCCCTTTCAGATACATCCGCAGGCTATCGGGGTCTAGTCTTGAGTTTCTAGCAGTCTGAAGCAGGCGTGTGGAGAGGTGGTACACAGCTCGCTGCCTCTGAGTTTCTGGATCAGTGTGATGTCTAGCCTGAAAGAATAAAACATGTTAGGTCTTCTCTTTTTATCCAGCAATTCTCTGAATTCTCTGGTTATTATCAATGAAATACATATTTAGCCATGATACAGCATTTGTCTCTCAGTGTCTAACGCTGGCTTTCTGTTGATTATAATTTGTAATACTGTGGCACATAAATGGGACCTTCCATATAAGCACAGGTAAAAATGAACTGTTAATTTTAAAGGCACAGAGAAGACGTTGACGACCCAAAGATGTTAGGACAAAAAGTCAATAACTGAACTTTCTAAACCATACCAAAAACTGCTGGCTAACTTTTGAAGCAATTGTCTTTGCCTCTTGAATTACGCTTGAAGGAAGGGCTGTCATTTCTGCTGCTCTCAGTCCTAGAAAAACAAAAACAAGCTCTGTGACTGATTCCATGAAAATTGCCAACAGGGCTGTTGTTGGATTTCACTGACTCTGTACCATAGTGTCTTTCTTCAGAAGACCCTCGATTCAGCAAATATGTGTATACCACGCTCTCTGCACCAGTGTCACCACTGCGTGTATGCTGAATCTGCATGTGCTGGTTTTCCACGTTCGGGTACAGAGACTCCAGCTGGCACAGCTCAAGGAAGTGTGTAGCAAACAGAGTGAACGCCTGCAAGAAAGAGGACACACCTTGAAAATTAGGAGAATGCCCAATCTCTTTGTTGGTTCTACCGTTCCACTGTTGATCTAACAGGTGTAACAATAAGTTATAATAAATTAAGTAGCTAATATGGTGCATAAGAACCGGAACCATCTGGTTTTCAGTTTAGAGAAAGGAGTGGTGATGCAGGGCTGTATTAGGGCATACTCTACCTTCAGGCCAAGGAGGAACTCGCAGACTGAGTGACAAATACCAATCCCTTCCTCAGCACTGGTACCACGCCCCAACTCGTCTATAATAATCAGGGACTTGTCACTTGCATTGTGGATTATGTAAGAGATCTTTTGGACAGACACACTCAGTTAATTACATATTAATGATCTTTTTGATTGATGTTTTTTGTTTTGTTTGCTCAAATATAACTTAGGAATGTGTACCTCCTTCATTTCTAACATGAAGGTGGAAGAGTTGGTTTCAAAGTCATCATCTACACCAATTCTGGTGAAAATCTGATCAGCAACACGAAAACAAGCATACTTAGCAGGGACGAACGAGCCTGAAATAAAAACACACAGTGTTGAATTAATGCACAGAAATGACCAGGCCTACATTTAAAATTCACATGGGGAAGGTGGGTTTATAACTTCCTGCTGACCTATCTGAGCCATGATCTGACATAGCGCCACCTGTTTGAGGTAAGTGGATTTGCCACTCATGTTGGGTCCTGTTATGATGACAAAGTTGCTGCCCTCAGAGATGTAGCTATTGTTCGATACGGGCTGCTGTCTGCCAATTCGCTCCAGAATTGGGTGACGGCCCTGTTTGATGGCCAATGTGTCTGTAAACTCTGGACGCACTGGCGGGCAGAACAGAAAAACACAAAACAATAACTCTGTTTACATACTGAGCCTTACATTCATTTCTAATGTTTCGTGAAAAAAAACACACACACACGTGCCATCTATAAAATTATATTTATATACACCATTTATTACTCGTTCACTTAAAGGTGTCATAACATAGTAACACACCGATTTCTGCTAGAGGTAAGGCAGTTAGCTCCTCTGCTGGGTAGATTTGCCTCGGTATGTACAGCACATCAGTGCGCAGTTATGTAAGACGGGTAATCTGAGTACAAGCTGGCTGGGATAGAAAGGGGGCAGGCAGTCAGCACGTGTCTATAACGAGACACTTTCAGACAGCTGAGGGCCAGCACTCACCACCCACATGGCTGATTGGGTTGGTGCTGCCCACGACAGACACAGAAAAGAACTAGGGCCAGCAGAGCTGCCAGCTCAATAGAGGCGCTTCTGGCTGTCATGTGTGATGATGGCTGGGGGCTGCCTTGTGCAGCACACAGCACACCTTTAGACAACAGTTCAGGCTTTGTCATGGTTAATATGACAGTCTGACTGACTTGAGAGCTGGAATCAACAGTGATTCATGCTTACCGTAGTCTGAGATGGTGCATGCATTTGCCAGGGACAGCAACATGTCCAACATGGATAGAGCATCAGAGAGCTTATAAAGGCAGTGAATGTGCTCATGGATAGTTCTCAGCAGCTGGCATATCACCCTGTATGGAGACAGGTTACATGATTCAGGGAAATAAAAACTGAACTGAACAGAAACTATGGCTAATAAACAGTGCCCCCTAGTGGACAGAGAGTATAATAACGTTTAATAGATATGTCCTTAAAAGCATAATTAAAAACAGAACTTGGCCACAGAGAAAAATCTACATTCCCCAGTTTATTGCATGAGTTGAATAATTGGTTTTAAAGGAGTTAAGTAACCCCTTAAATAACATCAACTGGTAAAGATCAGTAAATCAGATCACAGTTCTGCAATTACAATACTGTGCAAAAGTCTTGACTCAACCCTTATTTCTTCATATTTTGCTTCCAAAAAGCCAAAACTTTCTGTAATTTTTCTTTTATTTGTCTTGAGTAATAGCTCTCCAGGCTTTCTGAAGGTCTTTCAAAGTTTTTCTTTGGACACTGGCTGATTTTTCACAAATTTTGTACTTGACCATTTTCCCACGAATATTGTTTTGCTTGTTAAGCGACTTATGGCTGATCTATGAATCATTTAAGCATTAAAAAGGATCTAACGCTTAGCAAAGAACCCATTTTAAATTGTATATTTAGAAACTTTGTTACTGACAGCCTATCACAAAAGACATCTTTTATTCCAATGTCTTTAGGTGAATCTATAAAATTGCCAAAAATAATAAAGTTTTACAACGTAAAATACTTTTGCAGCAACAAGGTGATTCTCAAAAGGCTAAAACTTGGCACATCTCAGCATGGTGTGCAGTGTGTCTTTGATAATGAACTTGATATGAAATTTGATAATGAACAAGTGAAAACAAACCAAATGGCCTAAAAGACTATCTACAGCAGATGAACAGTATCTGAAAGTTGAGTCATTAAGAAATTGGGAAAAATTCAGCAAAGACCCCACACAGGACCTCAGAGATGCACCTGGACCTTTAGTTGATCCCTCTACTGTTCAATGACGCCTCATCAGAAATGATTTCAGTGGCTGTTAAGGAGCCATGAAAGAAAACAGGGAGGAAAAGAACGAGGTATGCTTGAATATCACAGGATTGCACTGAAAATTGGTGGCGACAGCTCTTATGGAGAGTTTAACCCAAATTTAAAAGTTTTGGCTCTAACTTTTAGTTTTCTAGCAAAACAAAGAAATGAGGGGCAACTCAAGACTTTTGCACAACACTGTACAAAACTGTAAAACTGCTAAGAACAGTCATGCCACAAAGCTATATTCCTTTACCTCAATTTTCTGTTCATGTTTGTAAGTCACGAGATAATGATCAACTCACACATAAGATATGTGAAAGATTTCCCTCAGGGCCTCCTCACACCGGCTGTTCTTCTTCATCAGGTCTGCAGTGGTGAAGCCACAGTTGTTCTTGTGCTTAGTTACCTGAGGTGAAAAGATGTTGAAATGCAGGTTTGTCCCTCTTCATTCAATGTCAACCTTATTGTCCCACCGGCGGCAATTTAGCTTCCTTTATTAACAACTAATGCTGAGTTCGATTTTTTGCTAAAAGTCTGGCTGCCTTCAGTGGACCTTACTTTGATGAACTCTGAGGGGAGTTTCCCTTCTGGTAAGGTTAGTCCTTCAAGCTTCAGCTGGATGAAAAAACCTCGAGCTGTGCTGAAGCTAGTACGCATTGGCAAGCCGTATTTTTCCCCCAGCTGGTTCACAAGCTCTGTGCAGCACAATGACATGAAGCATGGCTAAAGGTAAGAACAGATTACCTAAACATCGCAAGACAAAGTTATCTGGTAAACACTAAACATTAACACCTGCAATGTCGTCCACTATCTCAGTGTAAGCTTTCCGGGCAATGTCAAGAAACTTGTTGATGTTCGGGCGCACAGCGTAACACTTCTGGGTGCGCATTTTAAAGCTATCTTTGATGTAAGTTGTGTCATAATTGATCACAGTCTTGATCTGCTCCAGTATCATGTCAAACCTGAGGCAGACATAAATGTACACAGTGGAATGAGTCTGTAGACAGGAGATTGTAACTAGCAAATTCAGTTCATCGTACATAAGCACAAAATTTACAACCTGTTATCCTCAAGTGTTGTACTATATGCCTTGAGCAGAGCTGTGTTCCCGTTCTTCAGCAACATCTGTTTAAATGGTATAACACTTTAACAAAGACTCAGTATTTGCATTATAACTAAGTCACAATTAGCTTTTAATGAATTAATTGTTTTCTTATTCTGTCCATGGCTACTGGGCGATTTTGTTTGAGGATGTTAGCGGCACAGACCCTTAACCTCGGCACCAGGTCCAGTGTGTATTTCAGCTGAATGATATGTGCAATCTTTGCTTCAGCGACTTGAAACTGTCGAAGAAAAAAGTAACAGTAGTGACAAATGCACAGAAGTAAACAAACAGAATATTGTCACAAGCACTGAAAGTACTGCACGCACTGTTTCCTTCTTTGGGATTTGGACGAGAACTGAGAGCAGCTGATCAATGTCAACGAAATGACTTATGGCTAAAAGGGCCAGAAGAACAAACAGTCAATGCAGATATGCTCCAATTTTCAGTATGCAACCTCAAACTTTTTGTGCCTGCTTCCAACCATTCTTTAAGCCAAAGAAAAGCTCCTCATCTTCCAGCAGCTCTTGTATGGTGTCCAGGCGAGTGTTGATTGTTTCCACATCAACTAGAGGCTCCAAAATGTTGGAGCGCAACCTTCTGGCACCACCAGGTGTTTTTGTGTGGTTGAGTACCCCGAAAAGAGTATGGTCACTCCTAGAACGAAAAAAGAAAAGGCACAGTCAGACTGCATGACAGAGGAACTACATAAAAAGATGTTGTTCTTATCATCGCTTTCCATCTCACCTGTAGTTTCTATTATTAACCACCAATTCCAAGTTAGAGGCAGATGCTGAGTCAATCATGGCTGTCTGCTCACTCCCTTTAAAGCTCACTTTAAGGGACTTGGCAACGTAGACAGAGTTCTGGAGGAACTCTAAGTACTTCAGCAAAGCAGCTGCAGCTGCTAGGCAATAGTACCTAAAAAAAAAGTTATTACATTGGGTAATGACAAAATTATTAGGCTACAGTATCTCTCTATCTATCTATAGCATACTTAGCTTGAACTTCCATAACAACAGTGCTGAATTCTGGGGCACACAGCTGCTGAATGTACTCCAGCCCTTTCTTCTCATTAAAATACTTCCTTTGCACTGGAGTGAAAGGTACACCCTAAAGAAAAAACACCCAATAAAATTTAGTTTGCACCACAGCAACTCAGTGAATACTTAAGCACAAGTTGGCTACTCTCTACTTTAAGTGGAAATTTGTTTAAAAGAATTGTGTGTTATTGTTGCATTTGTACCGGAAAATTCTCAGTGATGAGATTGAACAGCTTTGTTCCTTTCCCCTTCTCACTGGCTGTGTCTGGCATCAGTATTTCCACTGGGACCAAGATGTGAATCTTGGTTGTGACCTTCAGATGAATAACACATGACTGAAATATCAATTCCATGTGTCTTTAAGTGCTAAATGACAGTAGGACATGGGTGTTTTACCTTGGCATATGTTCCTGTATCTGCAAACTGAGAGAGAACAAGCTCTGGGCATTTCAAATCGAGACTAGCCATGCCAATCTCTCCTCTGGCTAAGCCGCGTCCTTCAACTACTACCACAACCACAGAAGCACCAGCGTTTGTGGATCCAGATGAGCAACTTGTTCCTGCATAAAAAGTTCTTTGTTAATAGTAATATCTTATTTTAAAATATGCTTAATTAATACCAGAGTAATCAATAACTCTGTGCAGGATATGTACCAGTAGGTGCCCCAGCAGACCCTGGGGTCCTTCTATGTTTCAGCGTTCCTCCACGGCTGTGGAAAGATGAGCTCTCTGAACAAGATGAAAGGAGCAATGAAGCTGGCTTGCCTATTCTACAGCTGCTCGGTAATTGACCTATAGCAATAGGAAACATAAGAAAAGAGGTGTAGTACAGTTTTATTACTGCTGTGTCATGCCCAGAGCCAAATTTTGCCGGGTGCCCCAACTGCTCTCAATTAAAAAAAATTGATCATTTCATAACAGAAATGTCAATGTTAGCAAGTTTTTTGTTATATAATCTCACTCTCCCCCCCAAAATAAAACTTGCTAATGTTAGCACATCACCTGAGGCCGTTCCAGATGATGGGCCGTGGCGGGAGCTCGTACTGCCCTCATTTAAACTTTGCTTTGATGAAGCAGAGGAAGCTGCTGTGACACAAGAGGAGGTTTCGTTCAGTCCACTTTTGTCCTTAGGTACAGTACCCCACGACTGTTCACATGCTGAGGCGTAACCATCAGTTACCTCCTCTGTGCTGCTGGCAAACATTTTAAACCTATGCAGAGGCAGGACAACTAACAAACACAGACTCAGATGTACATCGGTAATATTCAGTTACTACACTTCGACAAACAGTATGAAGTTGCTTCTCAGCTGCTAGTTCTCTCAGCTAGCAAGCATAATTACCGCCGCCACACCAATTGCAGTGGCGCGCGAACACGTCACGGCTTCCGGCACGTCAAGTTAATTGTAGTAATATTAATGTATCTATTTTTTAATATTATTTTCTTTTTTCGGTCATTAATAACAGTTATTGTGAATTACAAAAAAATAACTACAAATAAATAAACAAATAAATGTTCAAAAAAATTCACTTCAAGTCGGGAAGACACAAAACAATTTTTATTATTATTATTTTTATTGTTGTTGTTATTATTATGAGGTCAAAAGAAAATAAGAAAAAAAGAAGAAATCCCTATAAGCCTTCACTCTCTAACAGAAACCATGGTTCTTGGTACGCTTCAAATAATTTTAAATAATTTTAAAATGTGCTACGGTGGAAGGACCCGCTAATCATCGCTCACGTTCATGTCTTTAATTTAATTTAACTTAACTGTATTTTATTTTTAAATTTTTTTGCAACTTCTGTTTAAATTCTGTTTGATTTTTTGCTATTAAAATGTCATTTTAATTGTATTATTTTTTTAATAAATATTAAGATAAGTATTTCTTGTCGTATCTTGTGATGCCATAGAGTTTTCATTGTTTATGATTGTATTTTTAAAATAATAAAATAGAAATATTAGAAATACATAACTTTTTAAAGCATCAAGCACAACTCTGTGCACCAGTCCTAATGTTGGGCGAGGTAAGTCTTTTATTTAGAAAAATATATCAGACCGGAAGTTCTATTTCCGTTTCTGTTTTGGCCAACATGGCGGCTAAGGCGGACGAGAATGAATATTTTGTCAGAGAAATAGACAGAAACGACGGTTGTGCCCTAAAAGTTAAGCAGTGCTTCTTGGGAGATGTTGGCTGCGTTGTGTGGGATGCAGCTATTGTTCTCGCAAAGTATTTAGAGACAAAGCAGTTTTACGATCCGTCTTCAGGTGTGAACGTTTGGTCTGGTAGGACTGTGCTAGAGTTGGGAGCTGGTACGGGAGTAGTTGGTCTTATGGTAGCAACGCTAGGGTGAGTTGTTTTTTATATGTGATCTTAGTGTTGTGTTTAAATATCAAAATATTTAAACGTCATTCCTTGCACTACTACTATGTTTTAGTAATCATATGGGAAAAGTCAGTATTGGTGATTTATTAATATTTTTTAAAACAAAATTCCTGCAGAGCACAGGTAATAGTAACAGACCTAGAAGATTTACAGACCCTGTTGAAGATGAACATCCAAGAAAACCAGGCGCTTATTAGCAGTGGATCCATAACTGCCAAGGTACTGAAATGGTTTGTACTTACATTTCCTATTTGTCTTATGCTCCTAATATAAATTTCACAGTAATACTTCAGCGGGACATTCAGCATATGCTTAATATTTTATTTTCAATATTACAGGGGTGAAGATGTGTCTGAATTCTTGCCTCACCCAGATTATGTCCTTATGGCAGATTGCATCTATTATGAGCAGGTACTTTCCTGTAGTTTTCAATCCATTATGATCCCCTACAAGATTGCAACATTACAATCATTCTGAAAAAGTGTTGTATGTCTCATTGTGAGTCATCTTATTTCCATACAGTCAATTGTTCCACTGGTGGAGAGCTTGAAGCTGCTTTGTGGACCAGAGACCTGCATTGTTTGCTGCTATGAGCAGCGCACTGAGGGTGTCAACCCAGAAGTGGAAAGGCAGTTTTTTGAGGTTAAATTATGTTTTTTTTCCCCCCACAAACTAAGTGGAGATATTTGTCATAGCTATCGTCTGACCTGCTCTCATTTCTTTTTAAGTTGCTGCAACAGAACTTCTGCTGTGAGGAGATTCCTTCAGAGAAACAAGACCCAGAATTTAGCAGTCCAGACATCCACATTCTGCACATTCGAAGAAAAGCCTGATTATCGGACTCCGATTGTGACATTGAAACTTGCAACAGTGTACTGAGCTTGTTTAAGATATTAAATTTTTTAACTTTTTAAAGGGGAGCATGCTGTTAAATTACTGTGTGTGTTATTTGACTGGAGCACACATGATTAAATCAACACACAGACACTATTTTTTCCTGCTCTTTAAAACAGTAGAGTTCCCTTTCAGTCCATGTAGTTCTGTTGCTGTGAAGCTAGATGGCAGACATGTGCAGGACAGCTCGGAGAAACAAGTGCATTGTTTGAGCAAGAGGCATCATCCCCCTGGGTCTTTGCAGTTCGTCTTGTTTATACAAAATACAGTTAAGCAGATGTGAAAGTGAAGCCTTTACGCCCTAGGCATCTGCAAAAAGCTGCAAACATGAAACCTATTGGACTTCTGCTCTTGAGCACAGACATATTTTCCCATTGTATGTCATTAAACTTGGAATATTTAGCAAGTGATAATTAAATAATTGGATAATATGTACAATTACATGTTTACATAAAAATATAGATAACCTCATGCAGAAATAAGCACCTGATGACAGTGATAAGTGGTGTTTAGAGTGGTTTTCTTTGTGATTTTCATCTTGTGAATTATGTAAATTCAGACACTTGTAAGAAGTAGTTGCTTAAAATCTGAAACTTAGGAAAGGATTTAATTGTGTGCACTGATTAATTAAAGAGCCAGGCTGCTCGCTCAACAATTAAATATTAAGATGTGAAGACAGTTTTGTTAACTTTTCATATGAAGTGAGGTTAGGGTAACAAATCTAATGTATAACTAAAAATTTCAATCTATATCTTTATGTGGGGTCCCCAATCTTTAAAAATGGAGGACAACAGAGATCTGCAATGCCAGCTTTTGCCGTCCATGTGAGGGGAATTCCACTCAAAGCCCCAGATTAGGTGGAAGATTATGGTTCCTTTTCAAGCATAAAACCATGAAGTACGCCCCATACTCCCACAGGCATGCAGGGGCCCCCTCACAGCCTTTCATGCTGCTGTCTGTTTACACAGTAGAGCTGTAGGGTAATGAGCACGTTGTCCTCAAACACTCAGGCCAAGTAAAATGTTAATACTGAAGTTGACAGGATGAGATCCCCCTAAATACTCAAATTGATTTATGAAAGAAATAGTACGATAGATCCAAGTTTGATTACACATTAATGAAATGGTCCAACATGATCACTGGATGAATGCAACACTTACCTATTTTAATAGGCAGAAAAGCCCACTGTATATAAATTTCCCTGAATTTAAGAGTTGGCGTTATTAGTAGAGCAGAGCAGTGGCTAATAATACTACATGTGCAGGTGCTTTAGCTTTGTGTATAGAGTCAACATGAAATCAAGCAATCTGAAAACATGAAGAAAATTGTATGTGTATACCTTTCTGTTCCAGCTAACAAACCAGTTAACCAGCATTTGATCAAGAGAGGCAGAGGTGTGGTGGGATCGAATCAGATTACAGATGTTGGTCGATGAGAATGCCTATGAAGAAAGGAGCAAGTGAGTTTAATTGCTTTTTAATTTTTATTTACAGTTACTATAAATAACTACAGCGGATCATGTAAGATAATCATTCCCTGTGGCCCTCCTGTGCCACTCTCACTTGCACATTGTGCAGCTGGACCGTTACAGTCAGAATTAACTTGCGGTTAAGGTCTGCTTTGGTTTGGCTGGGACACGTTTGCCTAATTAATTTGACTCACAGCTGGGAATAAGTCCATGCCCCCCAGTGTGGTGGGGACAGGACCCAGAGGGGTTACTGAGGAGATTAGAGGGGTAAAGGGGAGCTCCATTATTCTGTGTCAACACTTTCTCCCCCACCCCATCCATAGGTCTTCCACTTAAGTAACTCAAAATATATTTCCCCATCCCTGGTGTTTTCCTTAAATGTTAACCAAAAATAATTAAAACGGTGTAGTTGTGCTGTTCCTGTAGATGACTAATTAGGCTCACACAACAGGGGAATAGGAAGGCCCACTGTAAATGAGGACAGCCCACAGTGAAGCAGCAGCAGTGTCTCAGTAATCTGTTATCATATATATCAGACACACATGCACATGACTGTGGATTCTGGTAACCATCAAGACAGAATGGGGGCATTTTCTGCCAACAGATGGTGCTATAAGTAGGAATAACTCTTAATGGTGTGGAAAACCTGTATTTGGAACACAAGTCCATAGTATCTAATGCATACTGGGATTTTTTTTTTTTTTTTAAAGTTTAATTATTGTCTTGGGCTAGTGAACACCTGCAATGGATTCCATAATCAGCATTCTTGTAAAACAATTTAACATGAGGCAGCAGTGCAGCACTCCCCCCAATACCAGATGGGTGGAGGAGAGTCTGACTCCGGCAGTCCGTGTGGTGTGCTCAACTCTGCTGCATCACAGCCAAGTGACACAGAGGATCCTTTGTGTCACCATCATCACGCTGCCTGGAGCCAAGAGACACTGCTCCAGAAAGGAAGACTCATTTTCTCACAAACTTTAAGGGAGTGGCTCAAGAATAGACACCAAACTGGGCTAATTAAAAATAGAAGAAGGCCTGCATGAAAGAGTGACTCCTCTGATTCCGCAAAGGTGTATCCACAGACATAGACACCCCCCCCCTCTCCATTTTACATAGCAATCTGAGCCCGACTGAACTTTACGGTGCACCAAGAGGGAGCAGGCCAGACCTCGCTTACCAAGCATTGTTTTCTTTCAGCTATCTCTTTATCCTCATCTGGAAAGATGGGACACAACAATGCTAATAATCTGCAGCACTCATTGTTCATTGGATCTGAGAGCAAGAGGTGGTACCGTGCCAGGGAAGCAAAGCCCAATGGGACAACTAGCTTATAGAAACACAATGCTCCCCCCCCCCCCCCCCCCAAACACACCCCTGCAGGGGAACAGGGGGAGGGCGGGGGTGCTGTTAAGACAGCTGTGCTGCAGTTGAGAGGGGAGCACTGTGAGAATACTGCACACACTTTACTCTCCTTTCATCCCTGTTAGTGCACTAATGTCAGCGCTATGCCTGTAATGACATTTGTTAATCAAAGGTCATTTGATTGTCTTTGTAGGCAATATTAGGTTTTAAAATAATATGCATAATATGCACGCACATGTATATATACATATGTGCAGTGTATGTGGCACAGTCATGGTCATTTACTGATGTCAGCAAAAAATGTAGTAGTAGTTTATTGATCCCTTGGTTGAAATACCAAAGGTCCTGTGACTTCACTTCCTGTGACTGCTGTCTCCATGGCATACTAGAGCAGTGATGAATTTGTCATTTTAAAGATGTGTGGTGGTCCAGGACAGAAGGAAGAATTTTAGAGCAGGGAAACAGTGTAGCTGTGTGCTTTTGTGTAAAGTTTCCCTGAGTCATTACCTCATAACAGTCTGAATCCGGACTGCGTGTGTGAGTGAGTGTGTGTCGCATCGCCTGGCTCGCCACAGATCTGAGACTTCCTTCCAAACCCAAACTGTTGTTTAATCCAGATGCACTGTCACGCGAAACACTGACTCTGCTGTAATTACAGCGATCTTGTCACATACACAGATGTAGTCAGTCATGGAGTGTGACAGTGTGGCGGCGAGCTCCTGAGAAAAGTCTCTGAGTTCACTTTGCATGGATCTTCATCATCCTGTCAGCGAGTGTGTGAAGGCTGTGGGTGACTCCATGCGGTTGGTGGATACTGCTCCTGGGTGAATGACTTCTGTCTATAGTAGTACACAGTGCAGTGTTATAATCACTGCTTAGTGGCTCATCCTTTAACACTGTGGAGGTCAGTGTTCTGTGTACTGTATGAATAGGCCTTAGGCCAATGCATTAAATAAGCAAGTAATCTAAAAAAACAATCAAACTGATTTCATTTTACTTCAGAAACAGACTTAAATTTCTGTTCCTTGCAAGCAAGACGCTCGAGAGGCCTCAAACTGCAGCACCATTTATGCCTGCCCCCCCTCCTCCCAGTCTGTAGCACTTCTGACACCTGAAAGCAACGATGGTTAACACTCTTTACTCTATTTGTGGTGCTGTTCAAAAAGCACAGTACATTGTTCCACAGTTCAACTGGTGCACACATAAACATTTTATCACTTTTCAAGAGTACTCTCTGGACACATTTATGTGTAACGGAAAATAAATAGCAGCTCTGAGGTTTAAAAAAAACAAAAACTGAACAGATTGGATGTCAGCCAGCGAAACGGTTTTCTTTGTGACCTAAATTAGTTAATGCCTGTATGAGCACTTTGTCTGTGCAATAACAAACAAATTGGATATGTCAGGTGGACTTCCAACACTTAACAGTTATTTTCTGGTTCTCTGAATTTGCAGTTTCACCACAGTAAGCAACCCTCACTTCAGATATGAATGGAATGCGTTTTGGACTTATGCCCAGAGTGCACCTTGGATATCACAGCCTCATATTTTCAACCTCATGTAACTGGCCTGCACTGCACAGCATTACTCACTATCAAAACCACAACATGCTTGTAGGAAACCTCATTTATGAGCAAAACCTACTCCAAAACACCTGCAATCAAAACAAATTCCAGCCCCAGCTACGGTACCGAAAGAGAAATGCAGCATTTACAATGGCATTCTACAGTGTTAACCTCAACAGGAAACCTAAAACGACTTTCAGCCACTTCCGGACCCGTTTTAAACTGAGCTCTGTGCAGTTCATTATTAACAACGCACTCAAAGAAGGGGCACGGGATTTAACCAGAGGACAGAGAGCAAGTGATAGAGGGTAGTTTCATAACCAAAGAGGCTGTTTTATTGTCCCTGAGAATAAGCCACTGAACTAAGCTCTGCAAACCATGGCTTAAAGTAGGTGTTCCCTCCTACCATTTGGCAGATAAATAATAATGGTGTTTAGTGTTGTGCATGCATCTCAAATCCTTGAGTGATTAGCTAGAAGGGTGTGGCTGTCGTCCTGCAGGCCAACATTAAAGTGGCGATGACTATATTCAGGGCCTGCAGTCAGAAAAATGAGCATTGTGAAGGTAGCACCTACCTTCACAAATGTTATCTGCAGCTGGAGTTTAGAGGAAGCGAAGACAAGTGA